TGCCCCTCATAATCTAGTTCAGGTTCATGTTTTATACAGGGATGTATGTATCTCTTTTCAGTGATGACATAAAAAGTCAGTGATTATACCACTTTCGCGAAAAATGTCTCAAGAATCCACAAGTATGAATTATTTTAATCATAGCAGTGGAATAGGTTATGACTTGTTGGGAGTAACAGAATTATGCACAGGAACCACACCAGCCTTGGAAGGCAGAGGACTCAGATTTCAGTCTCGGCTCTACCACCGAGTGACACTCGACTTGAATAACTCATAATCTTTGCTTCTAAATTCATAAAAAGGGCTCTTTACTTATTCCCCCTCTACCACATAGATATTTGTCAAAGGATAATTTGTTAACCAAATAATTAAAGCCATTTTTAGTAAAGAAATATAAAAATCTAAACACATTATATACAGAGTTACATTTGGCTTTGTTGCAGGATATGCTTGCATTTTAGGATTTTGAAACCTGTAGTAAATGAACCAAAGTTTTAATTCTTCTTACAGAAATAAATGGAGGGAAGCTAACTAGTAGCATATTAAAAATGCTATAAAAACTGGATCTTTAAGACTGTATCTTGTTTTTTAAAGCAGACATCTTCATTAATTTTTATGAAGAATGTCATAAAGCAAAGGTCCTTAATTGCAGGTAGCATATGCTGGATAGTCCACAGGAGGGCAGCAAAATGCAAGATTTCTTTTTCTTCAAAATCTAAACTCCAGGTAAAATTGTTTTCAGCTACAAGTTATAAATCTACAGAAATTAAGGTTGAAGAGCATAGACTAAAACCATAGGTAATGACCAAATTATAAAAGAAGATATGATTTAGGTAAGTAAAATTATTAGGTAGAAGAAATTTTTTTCTCTAGTGGTGAAAGCCTTCACATACATATTATAGAAAAACCTGCATAAAATTCTAAGCATACCTAAATATTAAAGTCCGAGTTCTACTATACAACATTTATCCATCATTTCTAAAGATCTGGGTCAATATTTTTAAGTTGGCATGTGTCTTAGTGAATTATGAAAAGACCAGAGAAATACTGGGTTAGAAGCTTAATTATATTCAGCAAATACCAATGCCATTGTCAGTGGCATACCTGTAAGCATCTCATGTAAATGAAGTCTAATAAATACGACCTGCCATTGGTCTGATGTTTTCTAACAAAAGAAAAAGAAAAAGAATACTGGATGAAAAATAAAGTAAAACTATACATATCAGAGACATAATAATAAAATAATCTAGACTGATTAAATGGTAGAAAAGTACCTTTACTAGATATAACTGATTTGCAAATTAGTGAAGTTGAAGGAAAAAGTACTTCGAAAATATTTTGGAGTAATAAATGCTTGGAAAATCCACTACAGGTATTTCTGGACTTCTCTACAGGTTCAATATTTAATCATTCTGCTTATATTGTAATTAAAATTTATTTTCCATTTTTGGTCCTTAGTTATTACTTCATGAAGTTTTATTCTTTCTGACACGTTTATTCTTTCCAATTAAAAAGGAAAGTCCTTATTTTAGTGTTGAGCACTGAAAAGAACTTACTTATACTCGAAAGCACTGAGTTTATTTAACAGATTCCATTTTACTTTAAAAAGGGCCAAGTATGTTGTTACTGAAGAATGGGTTTGTTAAAGTGGCACATGCAGTTCTATTTAAGTTAAATCAAATTGTAAAATAACAAACCAATAAATGTGGTAAAACAGCATGTATGTCAAAACTGGTCTTCTCATTTTAATCAAAACTGAAAGTGCTAGCTTCCCTTTTAATAGTCAACTCAAGAGTAGACAATTTAAAAATCAATCTATTAAGTTTTCCTTCCCAGCATCCTTGAAATTGGGGTGCTGATATAAAACTACCTATAAAAGAGAAGAATTTATTAAAAGCTATTCAAAGGAGAGAGAAAGAGATGATGTCAAGTACTTGCTATATAAGAATATACACACCTAACACATGGCAGTCAATAAAAGTTTGGAAAAACTGTCAGGTAAGTAAGTATGCATTGACACATTTTTCAGCTATAAAGCCTTTACAAGTGGAAACATTTTGTAAGCATAGTGATTATGTATTTTTAAGTTGAATGAAGTTGCATTACCTGTGCAAACATTCCAAGAAACACACACTGAAAGTGTGTGAAAAATTCCATGATTACATATGAAAAGCAATAAAATACTTGCTTATGTTAACACACTGCCTATGCCTACAATTTTAGCATTAAATTCATATTACCCAAGAGATTATACTGTTACAGTTGCTATAAAAATAGTTACTAACATGGATCTTTAAGGAAAATTTGTTGAAAATTAACAATAATGGTCAGAAAACTATTAAAGAAATGTTTTCTAAGAGTAATTAGCTATTTTTGATCTTGAAGAAAAGCTTATCTGTAAAGCTTTTAAATGGTAGCTTTTCAAACAGACTTTCATAAGAGAATGACTTAGGTTGGGATGCGGTGGGTAAGGGCAGCTGAAATTCTTCTCTAATAAAAATCAACATGAATTCCTTGATTACTATATGGAAAAAGAATCATAAGCCTTGTTGATATCTTGAAAACTTCCTACTGTCATAATAAACACTTTAGACAATGTGTCAGACATGCAGGATAACTTATGAAGCTTATTTCAATATTGCAAAAATGAAAAAGCAAAAGGCAGACAATCATCTGAAGGTACAGAAATGCCAATCATTATTCAGAGGTTTTTCTCTCTTTTTCCTCAACCATTTAGTAAAGCTCAGAGATAGAGGAGATGAAACTGGGTTTTCAAATATAAGAAGTTCATGGTGCCTGTGGAGATACTTGTTGCTTTGAAGTTTCAGCTTTTCAAAGCTGGAACTCAGCAAAGCAACTGTGAATGTACAGGACTCCTGTGGAAACAGTAATGCAAAAACACTGTCAAAGAAAAAATCAATACAGAAATGAACTCAGTATTGTCAATGAAGTTGTAAACTTAGAAAATGCTATAGCATACATTTCCATTAGGGGGCACCAGTATTTAGCAGATGGTGGGATTCTCTCCTCAAGTAATTAATTGCAACATAAAAGGGGCTAAATTAAAAAAAAAATTATTAATGAGCTCTCTCTGAAACAACTAAAAAAAGTATTCCCTCTTCCCAAGTCAAATTATTTTCTTTTTTGTATTAGATCGAGTAATAATATCTGTGGGATACCTGGACAACTAAATACTAAGATACTACAACTTTGTAAATTTGTTTCAGGTTATTAGTTTCCTGGGTTAGTTGAAATTATGCTCTGGGGAAAAAGTTCAAGACAACTGAATTCCTTCTCTTGACATGAGTGACATAAAATAATAATAAATTTCAAGAAACTGAAATCCTAAGCAAAAACATGTAAAGTAATATTAACGAAAAGGCTTTTTAGAAGAGGATCACTATATACATACAAAACTCTTCTTTCCAATAACAGGAAAGAGGCGAGGAAGATGATAGCAGGTAAAAAATACAAGAGACTCTATAATAAAAGCAGCTCATTGAAAAAAGTGAAGTTCTGTTTACAAGGCTATTGTCAGGTAATCTAAGGAATTTAAGAGACCCCAACATATTTTCTGGAATTAAGTAAGAAGATAAAGATCCATAACTTGCTAACATAATAAAATAAAATTTAAAAAAATCCATAACTTGCACCACTAAGGTCAAACTATTTTGTATTTATTACAAATTTCTAATGGCTTACTTTTATCCAACACCTATCATGTGATAAGGATCTTATTTAATCCTACCAACAAGTCTATGGGACAGATTTTCCCTTTCATTTTATAGATGAGGACAGAAGTTACTTTACAGGGATCAGATACACAGTAATGGCAGAGCTAAGGCTCAAACATGAGTCTGCAGGACTCTGTTGCATCGCTGAATTACGCACCGTTGCATTGCTAACACATTGTCTTAGGCCTTCAGCATTCATGCAAGAACTCTAGTTTAGATCCTCTGTGGATCAGTACTGACCCACACCTGAGCTATGGAGTTATGCTTCTACTAGATTTTTGGTTCCTTCACTAAAAAATTGGGCTCTGACACTTAAAAATGTAAGCACTACTTACTGCTGGTCATTTCATTAGGATCTTAAGGTAGTCTAGTACAGTGAATCTGGAAAACCAGTTTAAGGGATTTTTTTTTTCTTTAAGTGAAGGAGATGGACTGATAGTGGTCTGCTTGAATATTACAATCTGACCTGAACATTAACAAAGCACCCACAGTGTGTTCTACAACATCAAAGTTCTGAGGGTCCACATATATGTAAACCTCACCTCTCATAACTCAAATCAAACTTTTTTTATTCTTGTAGTGAAAGTTAAATAAGTAAACATAATGGACCCCTTATGGAATTCTAACTGATGAATTTATAATAGTTATAATAGTTCAGATAGATACTAACTCAAATATTTTTTTTACCCAGATGGACACATTTATGCACATTCATATATATATATATATATATATATATATATATATATATATATGTACTGGTGCCTGTGGGAGAAAGTGGAAGAATGAAAGAAGATACCCCTTAATGTCAGGAGACTACTTTAAAGTAAGTGCAGTCAAGCTCTGGATCATCTTCACTGAAAGGCTAGGAGTATATTTCAGTGAATGAGGATCAAATCTTCAAATGCTTCAAATCTTATTGCAGATTATCTTTAGGGACAGAAAATATATCCTTTACCATTAATATTGGTCATTAAAAAACATCACAGATTTTGGGGTGAGAAAAAAATCTTACAGTCTATCAATCTCAGTTGAATCTACTTTAGTCAGCCTTTTTTCAACTAGGGTTCTAGGAGAGAATTAAGTACAATACCCTAAGGCATCTATATATAAGTAATGATTAATTTCCTTCCTATGTATCTAGAATTATACTAGTGATGTAAAATCCCTGGGAAAAACTGAGAAAAATCATTTTCTGTGTTCTGTTGATCAGAATAGGAACCCTGGTTGAGCTCATTATTTTGCCAGCATTTAACAGCTGCTTACCACTGCAAACAGAAGAGGTGATGTTGTATAGAAAAGGATAAAACTGCATACAGCGTATCAATTTCAGGCTGTTTTCACATTCTGGGCATTTGGTAGTTAATTTCAAAGCCTGTCTAAAGGCCTCAAGTGCCCCACTGATATTCTTCAGAGCAAGATAAGCATTTCCCAGGCTCAAAAAGGTCAGGGGCTGAAAAGAAAAAGAAAAAAAAAATCAGAAAAATGTTAGTGAATTAATATTTCCTGAGAGTTACAAAACTTTTAAAGTATATGTCCTTTGGCTTCTTTTAGGTTATCCCATATAAGTTAATGGCGAACTGTCCATTTTATCTACATCAGCCAATTCTACACTGTAACCGATATAAATTTATATTTTACCTTTTTACTAAAATAAAATATAAAGTGTGTAATATACACTAGTCTTAAGTGTACAGCTCAGTGAATTTTTGTATGTGTATATATCCCTGTAACCACCTCTCATCTCAAGATATAAAACATTTAGAGTGTTTCTAACACCCCAAAAGATTCCCTTGGGTAACCCAACCCCAATCTCAGATGTAACTAGTGTTGTTATGTTAGCTCTACCTGTCCTTAAATTACATATAAATGTAATCAAACAGCATGTTCCCTTCCATGTATATATAAACTGTACCCTTTTGTAGATTCTTTCACTCAGTACAATATCTAAGGTTTAAGAAACTGAATGTTTTTTGTGCATCAGTAATTTATTTATTTTTTTTAAATTAATGTGTAATGTCTACCATGTGAATCCACACAGTTTGTTTATCCATTCTCCTACTGATACGCATTTGGACTGTTGCCAGTTTTGGGCTATTATGAATAAAGCTACTGTGAACATTCTTTTTTTTTTTATTTTAAAGATTTTATTTATTTATTTATTTGAGAGAGAGAGCATGAGAGGGGGGAGGGTCAGGGGGAGCAGCAGACTCCCTGCTGAGCAGGGAGCCCGATGCGGGACTCGATCCTGGGACTCCAGGATCATGACCTGAGCCGAAGGCAGTCGCTTAACCAACTGAGCCACCCAGGCGCCCCTACTGTGAACATTCTTGCAACTATCTTTTGATAGACGTATTGCTCATTTTCCTTGGATATATACTCAGCAGTGGGTCTTAAGGCAGGCATATATTTAGTTTTATGAGATATAGTTTTTTTTTTTTTAAAGATTTTTATTTATTTGAGAGAGAGAGTACGAGTGGGGGTAGGGGCAGGGGGAGGGAGAGGGACAAGCAGACTCTGAACTGAGCGTGGACCCCGAGGTGGGGCTCAATCTCATGACCCTGAGATCACAACCTGAGCCAAAACCACGAGTCGGATGCTTAACTGACTGTGCCACAAAAGCGTCCCACAACCAGAGTTTTCTAAAGTGGATGTACATATTTACACTCCTATCAGGAAGTATGAGAATCTATTGACTTAGGACTGTCAGTCTTTTAAATTTAGCTGTTTTAGTGAGATGATGAAGTAGCATCTCAATGTAGTTTTAATTTGTATTTCCCTGATTAGTAATGATGTTGAATATTTTGTCATGTGCTTATTGGCCATTTGGATATCATCATTTCTGAAGTGCCTATTGTTTTCCCCATTAAAAAAAAAAAAGGTTGTCTTTTTCTTACTGATTTGAAGTTCTTTATATATGTACTAGATGTGGGACCTTTGTTGGAAATATTTATTGCAAATATTTTTTCCCAGTCTGGGGTTTGCCTTTTATTCTCTTACTGGTATCTCTGATAAACAGAAATTCTTAATTTTGATGATGTTCAGTTTACAGATATATACATGTGTATGTATATATAAAAATATTTATATATTTATATATTTATACAAATATATATTTTACAGTCAGTGCTTTTTTAAATCTTTGCCTACTATAACATCATGAAGACCTTCTCTTATTTTTTCATCAAGCTTTATTGTTTCATGTTTCACATTTTGGTACATGATCCACCTCAACTGTGTATGAAATTTGGGAGGAGTGAAGGTTCATTTCTTTTTCCATAGGGATATCCAAGTATTCTAGCACTACTTACTGAAAAACTAATAGGTGTCCCCACCCCCCTGAACTACTGGTGTGCCTTTGTCATAAATCAAGTGACTAAATATACAGGGCCGATTTCTAATTTTTCTATTGTGTTCTATTGGTATGTTTGAGTATCCTTGTGCCAATACCATACTGACATAATTACAGCAAGTCTTGAAATCTAGTAATATAAGCCTCCCAACTGTTTTTTTCTCCCCCTCACCCACAAATTTTCTGGCTATTCTAGATCCATTTCTGTGTAGATTTTAGAATCAACTTATCCATTTACACATACATATACATGCAATAGCTGGGAGTTCAGGATTAAATCTATAAATCAATTCTGGAGAGAACTTACATCTTTTTTTTTTAAATTTAATTTTATTATGTTATGTTAGTCACCATCCATCATTAGTTTTTGATGTAGTGATCCACGATTCATTGTTTTCATATAACACCAAGTGCTCCATACAATATGTGCCCTCCTTAATACCCATCAACGGGCTAACCCATCCCCCCACCTGGAAACTTACATCTTAACAATACCGAACCTTCCAATCTGTGAATATAATGTCTCTCCACTTATTTGGGTCTTCTTTGTCTTAGCAATATTTTGCAATGCAGTAGAGAAACCTTATATATCTTCCTTTAAATTTATTTCTAGATATCTGATTTTTTATGCTATTATAAATAGTTTTTGTATCCTATTTTCCAATTGTTTGTTGAGACTGTTTTTATAAGCAGCCCGAAGTATTCAGTTTAGGTCATTTTAGTTGAAATACACCTATGCTTGGCAATTTGTATTTGCTTGTGTACAAACCATTTATTTTACACTTATTTTATCATTAAAAATATTTTAAAGGATCTAAGAATGTTTTATTTTCAAACTGTACAACATATCCCTATGAAAAGCAATACCTATAATTTATCCAACTACTAGCTTTTTTTTTTTCTTTCTTCCAACTACTTGCTTTTGATTCAGGCTGTTAGATCACCCATAATATCTCACTATAACCAAGCCAAGGTATATAAAATATTCCAGATTACAGAGGCATAATCTAAGTAGCTCTCAGATTACATTTAAAATTTTACTTAGTGGTTTATACCCAGATGCAAAATTAAATCCCATATTTAGATTTCAAAGTGTCTTTATATTTTTACATAAGGAAACAAAATGTTTAGTCCTATGACCAGAATGATGGTTGTACAAATATCTTATATTGAGATAAACTAATTATTTTGGGAAAAAAATGAATTTTCATCAGTTCATCCAGAAAATAACTACTGAGTGTTTACCAATGTTTTAGATACTGGGGACACAGCAGAAAATAAGAAAGGTAAGTCCCTGCCTTTGTAGATTTTTAGTCAAGCGTCACAAAACCATGGGGGTATCACCCAAGTATGAGAAGAACGTGATGGAGAAGAGTATAGCAGGGAAGAGACGTTAACTAGACCAGAGTGGGTAACGGAGTGCCATTTTAAATAGTGTAGGAAGGGAAAGACTTACTGAGCTTACTGAGTAGTCAGTATTTTAAAGGATTTTTAAGGAGATGAAGTAAGATACCAAGAATCTCGGTGGAGTGAAGTATTCCAAACAGAGAGAATAGAAGGTGCAAAGGCGCTGAGGTGGGAGCATGCCCAGTATGTTCAAGGAACTGCAGAGGTAAGTGAGGCTAGAACAGAATGAGCAAAGGAATGATTTCACGGGGATGAGGTCAGAAAAGTAACAAGGTCATGTAGGACCTTCTACACTATGGAGAACCATTGAGGAAATTTGAACAGACAAATGACAACATCTGACTTTTTATAAGGATCTTACTGAGGGGACAAAGGCCAAAAGCAAAGAAGTTAGGCAGGAGGTTAATGAAATAATTCAGATAAAAGATAATGGTGTATTGGATCAGACAGCAGTGGAGATGATGATAAACAGTACAATCCTGGGTGTATTTGGAAAATACCAGCAAGGTTAGTTAATAGACTGAATTTACCCTGAAAGAGGAAAAAAGGTATGAAGGATGTCTCCAAGTTTTTGTCCTGAGCTACTAGCTTTACAGTTTCCTGAAATGGGAAAGACAGAGAAGAAAAGACTGGAACAATGTAAAGGAGCTTAGTTTTGCCCTTTAGTTTTAAAGTATGTTTTAGACATCCACATGGAGATGGTCAAGTAAGCTGCTGGATAAAGGAGTCTGTAGTTCAGAACAAAGGTGACAGGTGATTCAAGAGGGAAACACAGGGTTCTCAAGATGTGGTGCTGGAACAACTGGATGTCTATGTGATATGAACTCTGATGAATGAACTTTGATCCCCACTCAACATTACAAAAAAAATTTAACTTGAAATGGATCACAAACCTTCATGTAAAACCTAAAACTACAAATCATCTAGAAGACAACACAGGAAAATATTTTAGTATATTTGAGTCAACTATGTAAAGACAAGTAATAGACAGCAAAACCAAAGTAGAACTAATTGTTTTCAAACTTCTTGTGAGGATACCTTAAATCTAACAATAAAAATCAAAAGAGAATAGATGGGAAAATTGAAGGGTATTTTTAAAAGACAAGATAAAAAGAGAAAATATTTTTTAATGTATGATGCAGTTAAAGATTTTGTATAAAGAGTTTGTATAAAATAAAAAAACCCTAAATTCTAACAAAATGAGCAAAATGCATACACAAAGTTTTACTTTATTTTTTTTTTTTTAAAGATCTTATTTATTTATTTGAGAGAGACAGAATGAGAGAGAGCACATGAGAGGGGGGGTGGTCAGAGGGAGAAGCAGACTCCCTGCCGAGCAGGGAGCCCGATGCGGGACTCGATCCAGGGACTCCAGGATCATGACCTGAGCCGAAGGCAGTCGCTTAACCCACTGAGCCACCCAGGCGCCCCACAAAGTTTTACTTTAAAAATACAATTAAAGGGATGCCTGGCTGGCTCATACTGTGGAGCATGTGGCTCTTGATCTCGGGATTGTAGGTTCAAGCCCTGCATTCAGTGTAGAGATTACTTAAAAAACAAAACAAAACAAATCTTTAGAAAAAATTAAATAAGAAAATAAAAATACAATTAAAGGATAAAGAAATTTATAACACAGGAGTGAAATTTTTTAAAGTAAATTTGTTTTACAAATGTTAAGTCAGAGCCAGTGTGACATGGCCAAAGGGGGTGTGAGCTCTGTGGCCAATCTCCCAGAGTTCAAATAAATCCACGCTCTGACACTTTTGGTAAATCCCTTTGCCCGTATCTTTATCTATGAAATGGGTAAATCTTACCTCACAGGGTTGTTGTGAGGATTAAGTGAGTTATCACATGTAAAGTGATCAGTATGGTGCCTGGGTCTAGTAAACAACAATAAAAGTTAGCAGTTAGTTCAATTGCCCAATTCTGGTGAAGCTACAGATGAAATGAATACTTTCCAATCTTGATGATGGCAATATATATTGGCCCAAATCTTTTGGTAGATGTTTGGCATTTTGTATTAAAGCCATCAAAATACTCATTTGCTTAGTAATTCCACTGCTAGCAATCTTTCCTAAGAAAATTACCTGGAATGCAGAAAAAGCCTTATGCAGAAAACCATCAGTGATAAAAGGCAAGCACTATCAGCAACCTAAACATCCAGAGCCTTCCCTTTGGGGGCCCAATCATCACATCCCATATATAGCATCTGTTCCCACTGTACCTGCACCTGGCCCATAGCAAACATTTGATAAATATTTGATATACTTTGGCACCAGGCCTGTTGTACACTATAGCAATTATAAACATTGGCTTAAAATCTACCTGTGAATTTGTGTATTTCAAGGGAAACTCTTAACAGCAATATTTTCTTCTCATGCTTAAAAAATTAGTTCTGAGATATCACAAATAAACCTAAACCACTCATGCACACTTCTTTTACAAGTTTTTTTGGAGAGGCTCCTGGGTGGCTCAGTCCATTGGGTGTCTGACTTCAGCTCAGGTCATGATCTCAGGGTCCTGTGATTGAGCCCTGCGTTGGGCTCCCCGTTTGGTGGGGAGCCTGCTTCTCCCTCTGCCTCTGCCCCTCCCTCTGCTTGTGCTCTTTCTCAAATAAATAAATAAAATCTTTAAAAAAAAAAAATAAAATAAAAAAATTTTTGGATATAAAACTTAGGAACATTTAAACACTAGGTATAAGAGCAATTTTTTTTTTTTAAGATTTTATTTATTTATTTGACGGAGAGAGAGTACAGGCAGGGGGAGCAGCAGGGAGAGGGAGAAGCAGGCTCCCACTGAGCAGAGAGCCTGACGTGGGGCTCGATCCCAGGACCCTGGGATCATGACATGAGTTGAAGGCAGACGCTTAACGACTGAGCCACCCAGGCGCCCCGGGTATAAGAGCAATTTAATTGTATATTTATTAAACTGTATTTCATCAAACCTAAGATGTCATCAATTGTAACATGCATCGTTATTTCAGAGATGTTAAAATATTAAAAAAGAAGTTGTATCTTAGAAACTATGAACTAGAGTAATTAACTACACAGCAGTGATTAACTCCATGGGCTGCATGTGGGAGGTTCAGGGCATGAATATTAACCCATCTATCTATTCTTATCAATGCAACCTTTAAACTGTGTTCTGGCTTGGTTGGTATACAGATACCTATAAATTAAAGCTGTAAAACAGTATAATATTAAGCAGCAGGCATACAGTGATGAGTAGATAAAGAAAGAACGAGATGTTTCAGACTGACATAAAAAAGTGGCCGTGTATTTTTAACAGCTATGTCACTCTTACTTAAACATAAGTTCCTAAAAATAAATTAACTACATAATTATAAATTTCACTCATTTAAAATAAAGAAATGACACAAAACAAGAGAACTACAGGCCAATATTTCTGATGAACATAGTTGCAAATATCCTCAACAAAATACTAGCAAACTGAATCCAACAATACATTAACAAAAATCATTCAACACAATCAAATGTCATTTACTCCTGGGATACAAGGGTGGTTCAATATTCGCAAATCAATCAATGTGATACATGACATCAGTAAGAGAAAGGATAAAAACCGTATGATCACTTCAATAGACACTGAAAAAGCATTTGACAACGTACAACATCCATTCATGATAAAAGGCCTCAACAAAGTAGGTCTAGAGGAAACAAACCTCAACATAATAAAGGGCATATATGAAAAACTCACAGGAAACATCACCCTCAGTGGGGAAAACCTGAGAGTTTTTCCCCTAACCTCAGGAATGAGACAAGGATGTCCACCCTCACCACTTTTATTCAACATAGTACTGGAAGTCCTAGCCTCAGCAACCAGACAACAAAAAGAAATAAATGGAATGCAAATCAGTAAGGAAGAAGTAAAACTTTTACTATTTGCAGATGATGTGATGCCATATATAGAAAAGCCTAAAGACTCCACCCAAAAATTATTAAAACTGTTAAGTGAATTCAGTAAAATCATAGGATACAAAATCAATGTGCAGAAATCTGTTGTATTTGTATATACTAATAATGAAACAGCAGGAAGAGAAATTGAAAAAACAATCCCATTTACAACTGTACCAAAAATAATAAGATACCTAAGAATAAACCTAATTAAAGAGGTGAAAGACCTATACTCTGAAAACTGTAAAACACTGATGAAAGAAATTGAAGAGAACACAAACAAATGGAAAGACATTCCATATTCATGAATTGGAAGAAAAAATATTGTTAAAATGTCTATACTACCCAAAGTGATCTATACACTGAATACAATCCCTATCAAAATACCAACAGCATTTTTTGCAGAACTAGAACAAAAAATCCTGAGATGAATATGGAACTACCAAAGACCTTGAATAGCGGAAACAAGCAAAGGAAAAAAAGAGAGAGAGAGACAAACCAAGAAACAGACTCTTAACTATTGAGAACAAACTGATGGTTACCAGAAGAGAGGTGGGCAGAGGGATGGGTGAAAGAGGTGATGGGGATTAAGAAGGGCACTTGTTGTGATGAGCACCAGGTGATGTATGGAAGAGTTGAATCACTATATTGTACACCTGAGACTAATATAATACTGTATTTAACTATAGTGGAATTAAAATTAAAAAATAGAAATTAAATATATCTAAGAGAATCTGGGAGTAGAAACAAGAAGATACAGAAAAATGTCATTAGCATGATTCTACATTTGCACAAAGTAAGACAAATCAATATAAAAAAAAACACATCAAAAATAAGATAAAACAAAATCTGTTTTATACCATCTCAAAGTATGCAAACTCTACTCATAAAAATATGAGGTTTTTTTATGTCTTCCCCAGAAAAATACAAATTGTACCCTGGATTTGAGTTACCCCCACATAGTACATGGAGCTACAAAGAAACATAAAACCTCACCTCAGAGCTATTGATGGCCAAAGCTTGAAGCAGCAGCTTAGTGGCATCAAGATGGAGACCATAGTGAATCAAAAGGTTGGCCAAATTCACAAGAGGAATGTCCTGGTATTGAAGTGGAGCCAAATTCAAAGCCCTCTGAAGACAAGCAATAGCAAAAGTGCTGTTTCCTACTGCCCTCCAATAGAGTCCAGCTTCATTGAGTATCAGCCAGACGGGGGCATTTGGCTGAAAAACCCAAAATACCTCAGTTAATACAAGAATACAGTACTAGTTCTAACAAGGATTTTTAATGCATGCATTTTAACTTTTAATTACAATTACTAAGCATTTAAATTTCAGATGTCTAAAGCAGGTGACTTACCTTATTAATAGCGTGAAATAAGAATGACCCAATTTCTTCTTCTGGGATAGTATAGTTATTAATACGGGAAAGCAAAATCTGAAAATATCAAAAGGAAGACTGACTCAATTGAAAATAACAGGGAAGACATTTGAAAGAATTCTATAGATACCAGTCTTTACTTGAGCTCCTCAGGAACAGCTAATTTGAATAGATACTTATAATCATATATCTATATATATAAAACATGAGGTCATCAATATACCAACAGGTGTTGACCTGCTTACATGAATGCCCTAGTTTCCTCTAACTAAAACATGTTAAAAGATGTATATCACATATACTATTAAGGTGATATACCATACCCCATTAAAGTCAACCTAAGTATCTAAAATCAAATGAGAAATTATTCAAAAGACAATAGCACATAATACCTGATGCAACAAAAATCTTCTATCTTTCCTAGCTGGAAAAACACTGGATCCTCAATTACGCTATGTTCTTGCAACATGTTTATAACTGTGAGCAACTCTAAGGTAGGGATCATGGTCTATTTATCTTTCCTAGCATTCCAAACAGTGCCTGGCACGTAATGTTTTTCCCCTCAGTAAATGTTTGTTGACTGTTAGTAACTGTTCATAGTTTTAAAATTAAATTTTAAAAAAGGTTGTTGTGATGGTCTGTTTTCTCTGCAAAAAAGTAATTTTTTCATTTGTATCTGTGGAATGGTATCTAATGTAGAACAGTATGTAATATAGAATGTAGATACCATTCTAATGGAATCTAATGTAGAACTAAATTTCTAGTCAGTAATAAAACATTCCTAGTTATACATAACTAGTAGGAATTAAAGAACAAAGCATAACAGAACTTATCTATATTATCTGTAAAGTAGTTATCAAATTCATACAAACTTCCAAGGACCTTATATATAAGGCCAAAGCAGGGTTGATAAGGCCAGGAAGAGAATCTTCAAGCTTTCAATTTATACAAACTCCTGGAGGCCTGGAGGATGCAAAGCTAAACTGAAGTGGTTAGAATGGCCTCCATTAGATGAACTCTGCAAGTAAACAGAGTTCTGTGTTGCTCCTCCCTGGGGCACTCTTATTAGAGAGAGTGCTTATGTGGTCTGTGTGAACAGCACACTTTTCTGGCAATCCTTCAATAGCATGAGTGTCTTCTTAATGATTCCACCAATTCTTGACCTCTATTCTCAGTTTTAAAAACTTTAAGTTCAATAACTGCCTTCTATCAAATTTTTGTTCCACCTAAGAGGCTTGTGAAGTCACCCAGAATGGACGGCAATAAACACCAGCCTAAGTGAGCCTTACTTTTCGTGCATGGTCATCTGGCATTTTGGCTTTCAGATCCATGCGGACCTCTAATTCTTTGACTAAGTAGGACAGAGTCTGGCTTTTTCTGAAGTCAGTTATGGAACAGTCAGGGGTTTGGGCCTCTTCTTCTGAAGAATAATCATCACTGTTGAGTTCGTGGATCCTGGCACAAGAAAAAGGAACAAGATTCATATTTTCAAAGTTTGGGTGATTTCAAGATAAAGACTTAACCTTTCAAGTCCAAGGCTGGTGCTCTCAAAGAACTGCCAGATGACAATCATGCAGAATCAAGTGCTTTGCCAAATCCATCAGCACTTGCCTGAGTCCTTTGTTTTCCGGAGGCAGAAAATACGTTGGCAATTCCCCGCCAAGAGGGACTCTAGGATAGCTTTCTGCACAATTTGCTCTTTTAGGCCAAAGAATATGCTGTTTGTCCTAATAAAGAGAAAAAGTTCTCATAAATTTTCTTGGATTCAATATTTCAACATGTTAAATAAACTTTTAAAAGAACATAAATATACTAGGATAACTGAACAATTTAGTATTTTAAAATAATTGTAGATACTGTGGTAGACTCTATAATATTCCTTCTACTGAAGACTATTAGTGTAAGTCAGTAATTGTACCTGCTTTACCATAGACTCGTTCAGGGCTGGGCAGGCCTAAGTCAGCTGAGCCTAATGAGATACAAGGAGAGGCTTGCTTGGGGATTCTGGGAAAGAAAAGCCAGTCTTAGTCTCTTATGCCACACAGGAACAAAGAACATGTTGCTCCAAGTTGCTGCTCCTGGCTGTCACCTCATGACCATGAGGAAGACAAGCTTTAGGATGAAACCAATACCGTGGATGGCAAATTGAAGAAAAGGAAAGAAATGGGTCACTGATGATATCACTGGCCCATTGAATCAACCAAACCCAAAGCTTGCTCTGATCTCTGGACTTTGTGTAATATGAAGCATATTTTCTTTTAAGCCAATCTGAAGTAAAGTTTACGATTTGTCCTGAAAGCATATATAAGTTTATAAAACTGGCACAGAAAACTACTTTTCCCTGAACTAAGACCTTTTCTTTGCCAATGCCAAAGTTTAACAATTGTTTTGATTTGTAAAATGTTCATTTTCCTAAATATAAATAACACACATCAGAGGCTTACTGAACTTAAATCGTGAAGCTATCAAACTTTGGGGAATTTATTTTACATAGAATTAAATCTAAGTGGCTATATTAATTCTGATTGAACAAAAACTCAATTAAATTCTAAAAATTTAATATTGAATAAAAAACACACGGTATCTGTCCTCATACCTTGGTATCCCCATGGGCTAACATACAATTATTTCTTAGCTAGCTCAGAAGTACATATTTATTGGGGCGCCTGGGTGGTTCAGTGGGTTGAACATCTGCCTTCAGCTCAGGTCATGGTCCCAGGGTCCTGGGATCAAGCCCCGCATCGGGCTCCCTGCTCAGCAGGGAGCCTGCTTCTTCTCCCTCTCCCTCTGCCGCTCCCCTTGCTTGAGCTCGCTCTCTCTCTCTCAAATAAATAAAATCTTCAAAAAAAGAAATACATATTTATTAACTTATTATCTGTATCATCTGACAGAATGTAAGCTCCAGCAAAGAGCTTGCGTACTATATTCATAGTACCAGCCTGATGCACAGATGGGAGCTCAATAAAAGAAAGCTGATTAAAAAGTGGAATATAGCTGGCTCTTGAAGAGCACAGCTTTGAACTATGCAGGTCCACTTACATGTGGATTTTTTTAATAAATACAGTGCAGTACTATAAATGTATTTTTTCTTCCTCATGACTTTCTTAACATTTTCTTTTCTCTGGCTTACTTTATTGTAAGAATACAGTACATAATACCTACAACATAAAAAATACGTGTTAATATACGGTTTATGTTCTCAGTAAGGCTTCGGTCAATAGTAGGCTATTAGTAGTTAAGTTTTGGGGGAATCAAAAGTTATATGCAGATTTCTGACTGCATGGGGGCTAGCCCCCATGTTGTTCAAAGGTCAACTGTATATACAAGCATATACTTAGGTCAAGTTTAGAAACTTTCTAGGGTTGGCAATTATACTCAGAGCTCAAAGTTTTAAACTAAAATCAGAGTGTCTATATGCCCCACTTGATTGGGCAGAAGACCTCAAGGCAGACCCTGTGTCTTGCTAATCTATGACCTAGCAGAATGCCTTCTGTTTAATATAAGTTGACTAAGTGTTTGCTGAACTAAGCTGAACAGTCACAGGGACCATAGTATTCAATGAACATGAGGGCCAATGCTTTCAGAAATCTTGTCTGAAAAAACTGCATCATCCTCTATTAACTTACCCTATATGCATCAGAATCCCTGCCCCAGATCCAGAGAATGGAATGGGCTACGGGAGAAGACTTGACCAAATCACTGATATCACTCTGATTTGCCTGAACATCAAAATTCACAGACATCATACTGGAGGTTGATGAATCCTCACCAAACTAGAAAATGAAAAGAAAAGTTGAATCAAATGGGAAGCAGAAAAGAAGCTGTGACTAAGATTTAATCTAACCCAAAACATCAGTGAATACTGAAACCCAGTAGGAAATCTGAAAGTAGGTCAGTAATAAAGCGATCAGATCTTTACATTTTCAGAACTAGGCCCCAACACTATTCTCTCAGAAAATGCATAGTTAGCAACTTTCAATCAACTATGCCATTGGAGTACAAGAAAAATGGCATGGATTCTTCCTTTCTTTACTGTCCCTCTACTTCCTTTCTGTGATTTAGTCTCTTTTAGGTATAAAGGTGAGCTGATTCTCTAAGAGGTTTGGCTCATTATTGCCCTCCCCTATCTAGACTAAAATGATTGCTACTCTATAGAATTAGTGTGCTGTGGTAGAAGCAAGGGAACTTGAAAAAGGGCTCTCAGGAGTTTAATATAGCTATGACTTAGGCATCATAACTATTATACAATCAACTCCAAATATAAATACAGCCTTCCTCCAAACCAAGGTAAATCAATGTTTGATATTCTTAGGGGATACCCCAATTCCTGTGTATTTCTAAAACCTTGTTGGATAAGAGAATGGGACCAGGTTGGGAGGGAGTATAAAAGAATGGATTCTTTCACTATGTAACAGAGAGGCAACTTATGGATATTCAACACTGAAGCTACACTTTTACAGGGGAGTCTTCCAAATGGTCTTGAGACCATCATGATATCCAAGTTACCTTGGTTTCCATCTCTAACATTTGTAAATATTACTCCCTTTTTTCCCCCTTAAACTAATGCTTGGATTTAAGACAGGGAGCTATAGGGGCAACTGGGTGGCTCAGTCGGTTAAACATCTGCCTTTGGCTCAGGTCATGATCCCAGGGTCCTGGGATTGAGCCCCACATCAGTCTCCCTGCTCAGCCTGCTTCTCCCTCTCCCTCTGCTGCTCCCCCTGCTCGTGCTCTCTTTCTCAAATAAATAAATAAAATCTTAAAAAAAAAAAGGGAGCTATAATCTCAGATGTTAAATCTGATCTCCCTTGACTGTGTTCGATAACTAAACATGGGATATTGCTAGAAACTAGTTGACAAAAATCGTGGGAAGCTTTTGGTCCCTATTACTACTTCTTCCCTAAACGGCCTCTTAATTTTTGCTTCTTTTTCTCAATGAGGTCTGGGTTTTTTCGGATTAAAGAGTACTAATTTTTCATGGTTTGTCCTCCTATAGAAGCTGTTCTGATCTATTAATTATCTTAACTGCTTATCTCTGGAAATTCCTGTATCTATAATTAAAGACATGATAGGTTTCAATAGGATATGATAAATTTTACTTTACTTTCAACATCCTTTTGCATGATACTTGGAACTCTGGTTGTGCTTACTATCTGTATCAGCCCAATTAGATGCTCTCTGGTATCATTATAAATATGTATTATTTCTTCCCAACTAGTTAGCCTAGGATTGTATGCGTGTGTATGACTGCATGTATATGTATAGATATACACAGAGACAGAAAGAGAGAGAAAACATCCATGCATGTAGCAATAGTGCTTAAAAAAAATTTTCTGTTGACAGGGCGCCTGGGTGGCTCAGTTGGTTAAGCGACTGCCTTCGGCTCAGGTCATGATCCTGGAGTCCCGGGATCGAGTCCCGCATCGGGCTCCCTGCTCGGCGGGGCGGTTGCTTCTCCCTCTTACCCACTGCCCTCTCATGCTGTTTCTCTCTCTCTCTGTCAAATAAATAAATAAAAGCTTTAAAAAAAAAAAATTTCTGTTGATAATGATCATTTTGTTAATGTTTTTAGTTGAAGCAACATAACTGAACTGATGACTTCAGGAAAAAGCATGGCTACTCTTTCCCAAATTTTAAATTACTGCTCTTACTCTAATAAGTTAAAAAGGAGATGAAGGCTTTGAGTTAAATACTAGTAACAGCCCAATATAGCTCTCATGGTAAAGGAGAAAAGAAAAAGACATATACAGCTAGTACCTGGGGGAACTGGAAATATCATGCATGAAGTAACTGAGAAATCTGACTCTCTACGAAATATTTACATAGATAGTCTACGAAATCTGACTTCATAAACATACTCAAAACCTTAAATTAGTCACGAATTTGGGGATCAAATATACAAGGAATCGAGGGGGGGGAAACAATTTTACTCTTAGATATGCAAAGTTATAAAAACTAGAAGAGACCAAGAAAAAGACCTGAACATAGTCCACATTTTCAAAAATATCTCCACGATGGTAGCGCACAGGTTGGTCCCACTGGCAATGTAAACTATGCTGCTGGTTGACTAGACGGCATATCTGATGATTTCCTGGAATAAGAAAGGAAATTGCAATTGTTGAGAAAGATCAGCATTGCCAATATGATTTCATTTAGTTTCAGAGCCTGGCAGAGTACTACACAGGGGGTACTATAGAGGGAAACACTCATTAATGGTTAGCTAAATTAAATCATTCTAAAGAAGCCTCAGTTTCTCCACCTATAAAAAACAAAGGGGCTCCACTAAATCACCAAAATATCTTCTGGTAATTACATTCTATGACAGTAAAATCTACTGATTACATTGTTTTTAGAGACTTCTGCCATTTCTCTGGAGACAATCTGTTTTATATACTTCATAATTCTGTTTCAAAATTATATATAAGAGCCCTGGTTGTACTATAGTTGCTCTAACTGTAGAGTAAGCAGTAAATAACCCCAAGAACTGAACATACTCTTTATATTCAAAATAGCAAAGAAAACGTATTAGGTGGATTGTAAAATGGACTTTAAATGGTCACAGCTAAGGTTCAAAGACTTAAGAGGGCTTCCAGATCAATATATTTATCAAAGGAGAAGTATATAATATAAGGGATTCTATTAATTTATTCTTTGGTGTCAGCTGTTAGATCTACTCCCTTAGGGTTTTATCAGAAATGAAACATTCTGGATATAACCAAGTCACTGATATCCTGTCAACCCAAGTGCCCTTAGACAGTGGTTCTATTTCTGGGTCATGGACTCTAAGAGATTTTAATAAAACTATATGCCTTCTTCCCAGAAAAAAAATTGTGCACATACATATTACTGCATGTAATTTTGGGGAGGATTTCAGAACCACCTGACACTAATCCATTGACCCAGGTTAAGAATTCTTGCTTGAGAAAAATTCTAGCCTAAAATCTTACTTCTAAAATAAAGTATTTGTTTTTAAGGGAGGAAGAAAAGTAAGACAGCCTTATTGCCAATGTTGGCTTGACAGTGTGGATGCTTTGTTTCAAGGGTGTGTCTGGCCTGTGTTTACTTGGTATGAGGCCATGTTACTCACATTGTGTTTTCAGACCAGCAGCAACAGACATTAAATAGGAACGTGTTGGAAATACAGAATCTCAGGTTCTACCTCAGACCTACTGATCACAATCTGCATTTTAACAAGGTCTCCAAGAGACTGTCATGCATACTAAATCAAAGTGGGCCGAACAACTGTTGTTAAGACTTCTAGGATCTAGGGCGCCTGGGTGGCTCAGTTGGTTAAGCGATTGCCTTTGGCTCAGGGCATGATCCCAGGGTCCTGGGATCGAGCCCTGCATCGGGTTCCCTGCTCGGCAGGAAGCCTGCTTCTCCCTCTCCCACTTCCCCTGCTTGTGTTCCATCTCTCGCTGTCAATTAAATAAATAAATAAAATCTTTAAAAAAAAAAAAAAAAGACTTCTAGGATCAAAAGATTTAATTTTTACTTTAAAATGTGAATTTAAAGAAACCCAGAGAGACCAAACCAGCTCCCCAGGCCTGCTGGTATACCCGCTATGATGACTTGATTTTAAGACTGAGGGAAGTCATAAGCACAACTTTATACTGCTTTAGGGCTACACAAAAGTTATGAAAGTAGAACATGCTAGAAGTGAACTTCCTAACCTGTCTTTAATTATTTGGAATCAATACTCACCTAACTGTGCCTCTTTTGCCATCTGTGTCTCATGGATGATATTTCTTAAGATTTGCTCCTCCTGAATCAGCTTATGTTTTTCTAGGATCTCCTGCTGTCTCAGGTAGTGGTCATGCTGTTTTTGATATTCTTTCAACTCATTCAGTGTTCGCTGGAGGGATCTTAACATTTTTTAACACCAGGAAAAAGTTACAGAGCTTTAAAACTGAATTTTTAAACCCACTTACTGCATAGATTTTTCTGGTCCTCAGCAATAATTGCTAGTTTTTTTTCTTTTAACATACAACCACTGTACCACAAGTTTAGAAATAATGGGGCAAAATAAATCTACTGTTCTATTAAAACTTAGAGGCAAAAAGAGGACCCAAAATTCTTCCCTTACATATGACTATCTTGACAGTAAATGGTGTGTTGGACTGTTCAGGTACCTAAAAGATACATAGCAACATAGTATAAATCTTGACATATTCAACAACTATTTCCCTCCATAAAGTCTGTGTTAGTTCCACAGACATTCAAAGCCACCTTCTCATCTTCTTTTGATTCTACGTAAAGACAAGGTTAAGAGAAAGGGCCAACAGTACCTTGCTCTTGAACTCTAGCTCCTTGGGTTTGTGGATTTTGGAAAAAATCACAGAAACCTGGCTTAGAAAGAAATATTCTCTACTACCTGGTATCAATAAATCAGCTGCCTGATTATATTTAATCACAAAATCCTTTCTACCTATTACATTGTAACACATGGAGATTTAAGAGCTGTACAGATTGTGTATGAGAGAACCAATTTGCTCAGCCAGGACAAGTTCTGCAGAAGCCAGGTATAAACAAGTAAGTGGTCATTCCTCCCTTTTCACCACATTATGCTTTAAATTGATTGGAAAATAAGGAAATGCAATAGTTTAATGAGTTCCAAATCTCCATTTAATTCTCTAATAATCAAAGTTGCCTCAAAACATTGAGGCTAATTCCTAAGAAGAAGAATTCACTTTGAGTTATGTTTCCTAACAGGCCCTGCTACTTATGGAATCAAATACATTTTTATTAAGTACATTGCAAGGACCAAGTACAACAGAACTTCATCACTGTAAATTTACAGAAATCTGATTAAAATATGGGCCAAATAATGTTTCTCAATGTCACTTAACTAACGTAACATTAGCCCAACCCTAGCAGCTAAAGGGGAGAAAGATCAAATACAGCACATGCAAGTGATTTTACTGACAATGTATTCTGTGGAAATTAAAACGTAACCGAATTACTAATTATCTGACAGCACCCCCACTCCATCTGACTTCATAAAAGTAATCGATGGTCAAAAGTATAAAGACCTAAATGACAGAATTTACTGCAAACATTCTCTAGTTCCTGGAATTCATACTGTTAAAGATTCCTCTACACAACCCGAGTTGTGCTAACCCCCCTGGATCTGGAGAAAAGGGATAGGACTAGCAGTTGTGAAGAGGTGTTTTTAATTCTAAAGAACAAATGAACACTGGCATCACCCTACACAGGTCTAACCTAAGGTTCTACAGTGCTAGGGCTTCAGTGAAATTTTCTCACCCAATTACCTATGTTGGGCTTCCAATTTCTGCTCGAGTTTTTGCTGACAAAGGACAGCATGCTTCCTCTTTATAGCTTGCTCAAACCCAGGTTTGGCCTGCAAAGCATGGTCATAACAGAGCACTGAGTGGTTATACTCCCCCAGCATCTGAAGAGACAAAAACAAACACACACATATACACACACAGAGGAGGAAAAACGTTAGCCACAGTGTGGGTGGATCTGTCCAAACCCCCTAATGACTTATGAGATCACACTTATATCTCACTCTATAGTGAACATTATTTTTGATCAGTGACCAAATCCATAACATAAGATATGCTGTAAGACCTCTTAACTAGAAAGTGTTGCTATCTCCAGAGGCATACTCTGCAGGAATTTATGATTCCTATTAATTTTTCTTTTTTGTCGAGAGGCTAGGACTATTAGGATACATTATTGTGTTGACTTATTTTCCCCCAACTTTTTTTTTTTTTTTAAAGATTTTATTTATTTATTTGACAGAGAGAGACACAGCGAGAGAGGGAACACAAGCAGGGGGAGTGGGAGAGGGAGAAGCAGGCTCCCCGCAGAGCAGGGAGCCCGATGCGGGACTCGATCCCAGGACCCTGGGATCATGACCTGAGCTGAAGGCAGTCGCTTAACCAACTGAGCCACCCAGGCGCCCTTCCCCCAACTTCTTAATTTCCATTCCCTTTTCCTTGTTCAGACCAAAAGAGGAAGGGGAAAAAGTTATTTTTTAGTTGAAAATAAATTTTTTAAAAAAGAAAATAGCAACTGGTTTGCTCATGAAAATAAAGTTGTATTTACTGCATATATATTTCCCAAAGTGTAATAGCTGGTGAAGAAGTCACTGTCATCCAGAGCTGCATGGACCACAACAGCAGCATCTGCAGAGAAGTGTGCTCTGTGCAGAACATTTGCCAAGTTGACCAGGGCAATGTCTTTATTGTGCCTAAAAGAGAAGGAGAGGAGCAATTAGGTGTTAGGAGAGAAGTGTGTGCTCCATGATTCCATATAACTACTTGATAAGGGAAAATTACATTTGAAGTTACTGAACTTAGGAAAATAACTTGGAGTGTACTGATAGATGGAGAAAATAATTTAAGAAAATCATACTGTTACATTTTTATGTAACTGATGGTGCTTATTCAATCTGACAGCTACAAATTTTGCCACAGAAATAAGGTCGGGCAGATATTTTATGATTTTAAAATGTATTTAGGGCTCATTATTTGCTTTGAGAAAAATTTAATTTATGCTAATTCCTCCAGGCAAGGTCCGTATATTCAAGTTTCAAATGAATCAGACAGAGGGTGTCTACATCATATATTTTTTCCTTAATAGAAATCAGAAGAATTTTGTGCTATTAACAACTGTGAACTCTTTGACTTCTGTCATATTTTTGTGATGGGACTAAATTCTTTGAACAGGGGTAGAGGAGAGTGTAAGTACAACACAATGCTTCTCCATACTGTTTTCTTACATACTGCTTCTTTTTTTTTTTATATATATTTTTTAAAAATTTATTTATTCGACAGAGAGAGAGAGAAGCGAGAGAGGGAATACAAGCAGGGGGAGTGGGAGAGGGAGAAGCAGGCTTCCCGCTGAGCAGGGAGCCCGATGCGGGGCTCGATCCAGGACCCCGGGATCATGACCTGAGCCGAAGGCAGCCGCTTAACGACTGAGCCACCCAGGCACCCCTTACATACTGCTTCTTTACCAGTCCTGAGATATGTGGAGAATCAGGAAGTCCAGAAAGGGAGAAATCTTACCTGGAAGAGAAGTGAAGTGCTCGCATGGCACATTCCACTACTTGATACGGCTCATTCTTTATTCTCCAATAAAATGAAGCCATGTTATACAGTACCCATGAGGAAGAATTCTAGAGATTAAACAAATAAGATGACAATCAAACACAACACACTTTCTTCGACTTAGAATGTTCAAAATGAGCACCTTCACTATTCAGTCTCTTCTGAAATTTAAGCTGAAGAATAAGACATTACACCAATGAATAAGCAGGGGACAAAGTACCAATAAACTACACCTGTCAAAAGAGCCGCCTGATCATCAGTTGGGCAAGTTAAGTGGCTTCAGGTGTCATCTCCACAGAGAGACCATTCAACTCCAAGCTCTTGTTCCAAGAGTTCGGAAATCAAGCTGAAAAGCCCACCAAATGGCCCAAACTTGTTGGCTCCTATTTCAGGACTTTAGAAGTTAGGACCTAACCTACTTAGAAATGCCAGTTGTTCTAACATGAAATTCCTGAAATTAATAGTTTCCTATTTATTTTTTTATTTTTATTTTTTTTTTAAAGATTTTATTTATTTATTTGAGAGAGAGAGAATGAGAGACAGAGGACGAGAGGGAAGAGGGTCAGAGGGAGAAGCAGACTCCCTGCTGAGCAGGGAGCACGATGCGGAACTCGATCCCAGGACTCCAGGATCATGACCTGAGCCGAAGGCAGTTGCTTAACCAACTGAGCCACCCAGGCGCCCTCCTATTTATTTAAATATCTGAGTGAAGGTACATACATAAGCAAAAGACAGGTTTATCCTTTTGGAAATGATGAATTTTTATTTGTTCTTCTTTCATCTGTGTTCACAATACAAACCTTCACTGCTAAAAATTGTCTTTAGTATAGAGTAATAAGTCTATTACTTAGAAATTCAAATAGGTTTGCTCCTTCTGTGGCCTGGTTTTTTCATTTTGTAACATATACTAAATTTCAACCACATAGAGGTCAAAACACTGAACTGGACCATGACAAAAACTCAACGTAAATAGTTGAAGCCCATGAAGAGAGATTTCAAATTCAGCATGGCAAAAAAAATCATACAAAGTAAAAAAAAAAAGAAAGTCATAAAGTTTAAGATAAACTGGGAAAAATATATATGACACCCATGGTTTATTATCTTTAATACATAAAGAGCTCTAAAAAGAAAGACAAGAATACAAGACAAAATACAAGAGAATATGGGCCAAAAACATGAACAGACAATTCAAAAGTACAAAACAATGGCCAATTAGCAGGAAAATAATGTAAAACTTAACAAAGAATATAAATAAAAAAAGATACAAATTTTCCTTTTACAAATTCGCAAAGATTAAAAAGAATACCAACACTCACTGTTGGCTATACTGTATATTAACTTCAGATATTAATTGTAGAAATGTTAGGTGAATACAGCATTTCTGGGGGACAGTTTGACAAGATTTGTGTAAAAAGCCTTAAAATATCATTACCCTTTGACGCTCAAAATTCCATTAAAATTTTATCTCAGGGGGTGCCTGGGTGGTTCAGTGGGTTAAGCGACCCAACTCTTGATTTCGGCTGAGGTCATGATCTCAGGGAAATGAGATCAAGCCCTGCATCAGGCTCAGAGTTTGGAGCCTGCTTAAAGAAGCTCTCAATCCCTCTCCCTGCCCACCACTGCCCCCATGTTCTTGCTGGTTCTTCTCTCTCTTAAAAAAAAAAAAAATTATCTTCAGAATAACTAAGTTTTAACTATAAAGATGTGTAAAAATAAAAATACAAAAGACTACATTGTAAGACAGTAATTATCTGAGTGTTTTTTTACTTCCTCTTTTACAGATTTTTTAATATAGTCTGAATTTTTTCCATGAGGACAAATTGTTTTCTTCAAAAATAGTTATTTTTAAGATTAAAACTAAGTATAATTCTGCATTAATCAGCCTTAAGTATTCTTTTCAAGGAATGTATAGGATTTGCAAGTGATGCAAATGAGGGTATAACACTTGTGTAAGTGGTTAAGGGATATGTGTCACGGTCTTTCAGAAGTGACTTACAACTTGGGTTTCAGTCTGTTTTGACAGCCCTTTGAGAAAGTTTTTTTTTCAAATCAACAAATGCTTTGATTTTTATCTCTTATATTCAGACTTTATGTTGTGAGTTGGGACCAAAAAATCTATTACAAATTCTACATGAACAAGTGAAAACACCGTGATTAAGTAGAATACTCTGTACATCATAGTATATTGGAAGTAAGGGAAAAATATATATATTTTTTTTTTTAAGATTTTATTTATTATTTATTTGAGACAGAGAGAATGAGAGACAGAGAGCATGAGAGGGAGGAGGGTCAGAGGGAGAAGCAGACTCCCTGCCGAGCAGGGAGCCCGATGCGGGACTCGATCCCGGGACTCCAGGATCATGACCTGAGCCGAAGGCAGTCGCTTAACCAACTGAGCCACCCAGGCGCCCGGGAAAAATATATCTTTAAAGAACTTTTTCTGTTAGATTTCTCATAAAATTTCCCTCACAAATCTATAAATGTTTGAATGTCACTATCAATACTTTCTTCTTTTCTTGAACACTTTTTTCCCTTGGCTCTTAGGAGACCACATTCTTCTGGATACCCTTTCGGATCTCTTCTGCTGGCCTCTCCCCCTTTGCTTGACAGCTAATTGTGGGAGGACCAAGGACTCAGAGTAGCCTCGTCTCAAACTTCACTCTCCTCCAGATGACCTCATCTAGTCCCATGGCTACCAACACTCCCTACTTAATTATCCTCTCTCTATATATCCAGCTCTGACCCCTCCTGGAGCTCAAGTCTCATTTAGGTATTTCAAATTTAACGTGACCAAAACAGACTCTATCTTCTTTTCCTCCACCCCAACCTTGCTCCTTCTTCAAGTTGCTCATGCCAAAACTTCAGGAATTATCCTCAATTCCTCTTTCCCCTCATACCCTACATCTAACTCATCAGCTTCTAAACTTCTAAATGTTTCCTGAAATAGTTTAAGTCCCTCCATTTCCAATACTAACCATTCTAGTCCAAACTATGTCATCTCTCTCCTGAACTACTGCCCATAGCCTTAGAACTGATCTCTCTGTTTTCAGTTTGGGTCCCTTCAGTCATTTCTCCATCTAAGTTTAAGAGTATATTTTAAAAAATATTAACTAAATTATGTCATTCCTCTGCTCTAGCTTCCCAGCACTCAGGTCTCAGCACACAGAGTCCTCACCCTAGCTTTCAGAGGCCTACTTATTATGGCCCTGGTCTACTTCTCTGGCTGAATTCCCTATCATCCTCTCCTCTGCTCACCAGGCTCCAACCTTACTGACCTTCACCTGTTACAGATTGAATCTTTGTGTCTCTCCCTGCCACCCCCCCCGCCCCCATTTCTATGTGGAAGCCCTAACCCAGTGTGACTATATGTGAAGACAGGGCCTGGGAAGAGGTGATAAAGGTTAAATGAGGTCCTAAGAGTAGGGCCCTAATCCAATAGGGCCAGTTCCCTCATAAGAAGAGGAAGACATACCAGATCTCTCCCCCCACACATACAGAGAAGGGGACATGAGAGGACCCAGTGAGAAGGTGGTCATCTGCAAAGCAGGAAGAAAGTCCTCAGCAGGAACCGAATCAGCCAGCACCTTATCCTGGACTCCCCAACCGCCACAATTATAAGAAAGAAGTTTCTGTTGTTTCAGCCACCCAGTCTGTGGTATTTTATGATGGCAGCCTGAGCAGACTACTATACTACTGAGCTCATTAAAGGCTTCAGAGCCTTTGCCTTGCCTTAGAATGCTCTTCCTTGATCTCAGACAGTTGGTTCCTTCTTCTCATTCAGATATTGGCTTAAATTTCACCTTTCCAGAGAGGATGATCCCAACTGTTCAATCTAAAGTAGCCACACAATTACCCTCTATTTTAATTTTCTATAGAGAACTTACCACTATGATCTACTTTCAACTAACCATCCCTTGAAGGATATTTTAAATCCTAGGCCAGTTTTCCTAGGTAGTTTTTATTACTCATCAAGTTCTGGGCTGCAATGTTTTACATTACCTTCAGAAAAACAAGAAGACAGTAACTTAACTACAAAATCATATATATATATATATACACACATACACACACACGTATATATATATGACGTATTTGAATAAACTCATGTTGCCCTTTCACATTTGAATAAACTCTATATAAATGTTGCCCTTTCACATTTTACTTAGTACCATTATAATACTGCTTAAAAACTAGCCTCCATTTTGGGGTGCCTGGGTGGCTCAGTCGGTTAAGCCTTCTGCTCTTGGTTTTGGCTCAGGTTGTGATCTCGGGGTCGTGTGACTGAGCCCTGCATCAGGCTCCATGGAGCCCCTTGAGATTTTCTCTCTCTCCCTCTTCCTCTGCCCCTCCCCCCGCTCTCGTGTGCTTGCTTGCTCTCTCACGCTCTTTCAAATAAATAAATAAGTAAATAAGTATCTTAGAAAAGAAAAGAAACTAGCTTGCATTTTATGATACAACTCAGGCACAGAGAAGAGTAAAAAAAAAAAACAAAAAACAAAACTGTTTTCTAAATTCCCACATGTTATGAGGAATGATACATTTAATTTCTTGGGTCCTATTACACAATTCCCTATTTCATGTTTTTAAAAGTAGATGGTACCTTAAAAGAAAATTTTAAGACTTTATTGATGGTGGTGATTCTTTTCTTGTCCAGAGAACAGTGACGATCTATGTATTGGGTAGATATTTCAAAGACACTAATGTTAAATTTTCTTTCACATTCAAAATATATAATCTAGCCTATAAGCCCTGCTGCTTATCTTGGCTTATAATTTGCTTTTTCATGAATTGGTTTATTTTTTTATTTTTTAAAGATTTTTTTATTTATTCATTTGACAGAGAGAGACACAGTGAGAGAGGGAACACAAGCAGGGGGAGTGGGAGAGGGAGAAGCAGGCTTCCCGCTGAGCAGGGAGCCCGATGTGGG